GCATGCAACCAGTTTTTATCAGTCATGACCAAAAATATAGATATATGAACACACAAAAAAATGGGCGGAAAAGTGAGTTATACCTTCAGCGATGTTCAGACATCATTGTGGAGTTGTACAGTGTTCAGAAAACTGGAGTGCATGAAAAATTATGTGGATTTTTTTTTCCATGTTTAAATTTTTTTGCTGTTTTCCACAAGAAAAATAAGATTTCCAAATAATTTATTTAGGTCATTATGAAATATGATTTTCAGTACCAAACAATGTTGACCACTTCCAAAGTGTACATTTCCAGCATTTATTAGGTAATCAAAAGAGTAATAATTTTGGTTATCATTATAATAAAAACCATTTACCATGTAGACTGAATGATTTTGGTGTTTCTCTGAGAGTGGGTTTTAATTATGATGTGTTCGTCCTGAATAGAAGCGAAGGCCTCACCATTAGACACAACTCAGTGAATCTGAAAACTCAACAGCTCCACCTGCTGTTCTAAACATGCTCACTGTCTCCTGGAGTTCAAATAGAGGTATGCCAGACAACAACTAAAATTAGTTTAAACTAACAAGAAGGTTGTGGTAGCTGTATTTGCACGGACCAAAATTGTCACTAAAATGTTTTAAGTGTTGCTTTGTTAAAGTGGTAAGTGCGCAACCGTGAGCAAAATAACGTTTTAAACTAATGATGAAAAGTTTTTATAATACTAATACATATTAACATACAATTCCCAGTGTGTAAGGGTTATACTAATGGAGCTTAGATAGTTATTTTCAAACAAAATATTTCTTCAAATGGAACTATATGGGAATTTTAGAATGAAGGCGTCAGAAAATTTAAGTCTGAGTGTTTTTCATCTCAAGAACAGTAGCCGAGTGAAGGCATTTGTTTCTTCTTGCTCCTGTCTTTCTCTTTCAGTGCTATTGCCGTTTTTTTTAGCACTGTTTAAAAGAGATTATGGAGTCATCCATTTTTTGAAAATAGTGTATATAGTCCCTTCAAAACTGTTACAATAAAACTCATTCAAAACATCTAACATAATCTTGGGATGCAGTTTAAATGAGGGACCCAAAAGTCAACACCATAAGTTGGAGCGCACACACTCAAAGCCAAAGACAACAAACTCGATACCTTTTATCAGTTTGTCAAATAGCACGCTGCTTTTCTCTTTATAACCCTTTAAACCTTACAAACACAAACAAAGGGGACTATGGGCAGGCCAACACTCACACAGTGTATTATCTTCTGCCAAGCAGACACAGTCAGGCTATGCACAACCTCAAACACACAGACACATTCTTAAAAAAATCCATTTGTACTCTTTTAAGTCACAGGATGGCCGTGCAAAAATGGGAGATGGTCCAGGCGGAGCAGGGGCATGGGGCATGTGTTCGCCCCCCTCTGAGCAGCCTCTGGCTCCCTTTGTGGCCCGGATCAGAGGAGTGAAGCCAAGCAGAATCTCTGTCCTGTGTCAGATGGATGAAACCACTTAGCAAATTAGCAGTCCTACCTCCCTGGCTTTACAACACACACATGGACTCTCAGTGCAAACATGTACTGTAAAAGTACATGTCCAGGTATGCACAAGCGCACACATGTGCACACCAAAACAGGCAGCATGAGGTGGTAAAAGGCCAGGTCTGGAGAGACAAGCAGAATAAGAAACATGTAGAGGCTGGAGAGAGATGGTGTGAGGAACAGGGGGAAGGAGGGGGGGGTGAGGGGAACATGATGGAGGTGACTGGAGAAATGGGGATGATGACATCAGGAGAGGAGCAGAGGTGGGAAAACTGTTGTGACAGATAAATGGCCCAGAGGTGTATGAAAAAAGAACAGCATCCTCTGATCATAGGGTACATAAGAGTCATACCTAAATCCAACTGGCATGTAGCATGCATCGCTTTCATAAAGGTCAGCACGGCGATCCATCTGTTCATGTGTACGGACACATATGCATGTGGGCCCTCACACACAGTTCTTAAATGCAAACAGACTTTCCACCAACACGAATGAATACATCGGAGATCCTCACGTAAACCAGCATACATGCACGTTCTAATCATCAAAGAAACAGAGACACAGTCATGATCACATTATTAGACATCCATACTTATCAAATATTTATGCCAAAAAAAAAAATCCATACAAACATGAATACAGGCTATGTGTGTGCACACATGTTCCCATGCGGCATTCATCCAAGTGTCCGGAGAAGCACATCAGGGAATAGGGGACACATGAGGATCAAATTGATTAAGGCCAGAGTTCTTAGCCACATAGTGGGGATTAAGGGAGCTAATAAATGTTTCATTCAAAGCCAGATGTAGATCAAACGTGAGAAAGGTCCCCAGCTTGCTGCTTGCTGCTTGCTGTTAATGTGATTCTCTCTCCTCTCCTCCTCCTTCAGCTGTTGGACTTCAGCTATATTATGACAAGCGCTACAGATTGTCTCACTAACAACTACAGGCCCTGCCCTTGTGCCTACTCATCATTAGCTCTCCATCTGTCAACTTCCTAACAGGTTCCCACTAATGTGGCCAAGGACTCACTTCATTGCATTCCAATCCAACAGGCATCAGAAGTCAACAAGCACTGTGCACTTTTTCATGGATTCTCACACCTACAATTTTTTTACTTTTCTCTTCTCTTTCATTTTCTAGCTTATCAGTTTTCATTTTGCATTTTTCTGACCAGACTCTCCTGCATCTCTTTCTCCTCGTGGATGTCTAATGGATTCTCATCCACTTTTAACCTTTCCACTCCACTCCTCTCACCTCCACCTCTTCATCTCCTTAGAGTTGCTCCCTGTATCTGGTGAGATTCAAGCTGGTGCTTGTGTTCAACAGGGGATTAGCAAGAATGGAGGAAGCAGAACGTGTGAAAACCAGTTAAGTCACACACTCTTTTGGCTGGAGGTTTGCACACACACACACACACACACACAGAGGCACAGATACCTCACACATATGCATGCGACCTATAACAAGCACTTTCTGGCATCACATGTTTATCACACAGGCCAGGCTTGCACCACCGAGTGCTATGTAGAGACGCAACATCAAGCAAAACATTGAAGTGAAGAAATCAAGCAACTCCAAGTAAGATAAAGCAAAATTAAATCAACGGTAAAAAATAAAGTTTGGTATGAATGAATGAATGGATGGTAGGATGGAGAGGCAGCGACGCTTGTCTGAGGCAGAGGGCTGCGTGGCTATGTGGGTAACTCTATCTGTAAAGGGGGAATACAGCAGTGGTTGGGTAATGGAAAGGTCATTTAGCCAATCCCCCAGGTAGGGGGGCTGGTCTGACACGGCTCGTTTGTCACAGTTCAATAACTGCCACTCCGGGGAGTGTGAGGGAGAGACAGAAAAAAAAAGAGTGAGGGAAGTGTAGGAAGTGTGTGCCTGCGTGTGTGTGTGTTCTCTGCAACCCCAGAGTAGCAGCGTGCTCAGCCGCTGGAAGCACAGCTGATTCCCAGGGCTTGTCCCTCCATTTGAGGCCTCAAACAGGGTCACAGTGAAGGCCAAGCACCATGGACCCAGATATCTTGATGTGAAAACTTGTAAGTCTTGGCCTGGAAGGATTCTTTTTGCTCTAAGTGGTAGATGTTCAGTTTTCCAAGAGGGAATTGTTACTCCCCTCCTGAGCCAAAAATAAAGCAGGAGAATGAAAATAAATTATTGGATGGGACTACAATGCTGCAAATAGGCTTATATATATATATAGACTGTGTACAATAAAATATATTTATGTGAATATTAAAATATCAATGGTTATTTATTGGTAGCAAAAATGTCTCACAGATCTTAAGTTCATAAATATTTCCTTAAGAAAGAATTAAAAAAATTCAGTATTATACAGTCATGGAAAACCTCTTAGAGATTCTAGCAGGAATAATCAATAACAAGTGAAGAATAGGATTTGTATAATTGAATGATAAATTGATGAAACGTTTGTCAAGCTGCAGCAACATATGCAGAATTATAGAGTTTCATTATCCAATAAATGTACATAACCACAAAACAAATAAAAACACTTCCACCGACCAAGTGCCACATTATTCTCAGTTGGCTGTATTGATTTGTGCTGTTCCTTTAACATGTTGTTAGGTGTGTGACAGAATGATCCTCCTGCTTTGTGAGAGGGCCAAAGATTTTCACACGTCTCATTGAGCGACTGGTGAGAGACACCACAGTCTGTTCCTCTCCTCACTTTGAAAATCAATAATAAGCTTCAATATGCTCCTTCATGTGTGTCTGTGTCTTCCCCGATGTGATGCCTGGAGCACAGATCTGTATAGAGCTTAGCTGGACCAGAAGATTTAACATACTAGGCCAAACGCCTGTAGTTTGATTAATAACGACAGGCTCCGTGCAATAGGTGGATTTGTAAAGATGCTCATATTTTTCATGTTCTCTTGTCTCCCCCTTGTGGGAATCAAGGGAAACTACAAAACAAAAGATAGAATGCGAGACAGAAATCACCTTGAACATCATTAGTTATTCCAAATATTAACATGACATTTTTGAAGATCCACATAATTCAGCTGGTGAATTATAAAGTTGGAACAACTTATGTTTTCCTGATCAAGCAAAGTATCCTTGTGATTAAATTACAATCACGATATATTCACAATAAAAGCTAACAAACAGCTGTCAATCCCGCAGGAACTAAACACTGAGCAGCAGTGAAAACATAATCTATACCTTAGAGTTTACTCTTAAAGGCCGAGCCAATGCAACCAATCAAACCAAGGACATCATGCAGACCCTACATGAATGTAGAAACTGAACCTCTGAGTCAACTGTGGTCAGTGACATCACAGGACAGAAGCGCTTCCTCATTCAGAATGACTCACTGATGTTTGGCCACTCAAGGGTTTAAACACCTCTTACTTGTCTCGGTGTCACATAGCTTTCAGAAACCTTTTTCTTCAGTTAGTATGCAACGTGCTTTCAAGAGAACATCTAAGAGAAGGCCAGAGTAAGGAAGTAACAACCAAGATGTCCCCGTTGATGTTTAAAGATGCCTTCTGGGTAAGTCTGATTGTATGGTTTTGTGTCAAGCTGAAGCCGTCCCAGCTGAAAGCTAAGAAAGCTTTAGTTAAACATTCTTTCTGTTAAGGAGTTCATGTTGAGCTCACAATAAATCACCAAAGGATTCAAGTACACTGTGTAAAACATTCAAGTCAAATGTGAGAGTCAAACTGTTGTACTCTATCCACTAAAGATACTCTATCTCACATGAACATTTACCAGCTATAGTTCAAAGATAGGCAGCTTTACTCAAATCCTCTAAATGGAAAAACAGTTAATAGCAGCAGAGCAGAGTTCTCTCAGATTCACAATCCAAAGACAGTTTAAAGAAGTATTAACTTGCTGCCTTGTCAAAATGAGCTATTTTTGCGTAGGCCAACTGTTAGTTCTGCATTTTAACCACTCAAGGACAGCAAGAGCAACTCAAGGACGAGCAATAGTTTCTGAACCGTTTTTTTTTTTTACTGCTGCATTTCTCTGTGGCTTTTTGTCTGCCTTCTTAATGCAGGGTTCTGATTTCACCTGTCATGCCGGCTATGATGCCCTGATCCAGAGGCTGAGAGAGGGACGACAAATGTGCAAAGATGTGGAGGAGCTCTTAAAGATGAGGTAGTATTTCAGTCACTAAAACCGAAACGGAACTATTTCAAGAATAGTGACGTTTGTAAAAATGCATGTCTATTTTCTGCTGTCAATTATCATTGTGTCACAGACAAAAGTAGTGTGATAATAATACATAATGGAACTTAAGACTGGATGCCCAAGAGCCAGCCACAAAAGGGTTTTATTTGCAAAAGATTTTGGATACTTGAATTTTTGCTGAAAGATAATCCACAATTTAAAAAGCATCTGATAACGTCTTGAAATCAATTACCTGGAAAGACAGGAATTAAAATGCAGAGGGTTGCTCAATTTAAATACTGAATTCTTTAAAAGATGATAGAATATTTTAAAATGATGAACTGATTTTGGTTGCTGGATGTTCTAGATTATGTAACAATCAGAATTTTTTCTTCAGACAGCAAAGTTAGTTATGACCAATTTGTTTGGTCTGTAACATACTGTATGATGCAGTTCAGTATAAAACCTTAAGACAGATAATACAAATGCTGTAAAATTCTGTTGATACTGTGCAGGGCCCAAGCAGAGGAGCGGTATGGAAAAGAGCTGGTGACTATTGCTCGTAAAGCAGGAGGAAACACCGAGATCAGGTGAGACATGTCCCCTCATTTTCAGATTTTGAGTTATGAGGTCAGTGATCAGTACCGTGTAGAAAAAAGAACGCAGATCCATTATATGTATATGATGTGCTGTCCATGCCAACAAAAACCTAAAAGACTTTGATTTGCTAGAGTTTGAACTGGGTTTTGGATTTTCTGAGTACCCTGTACCTCTGACTCAGAGGAAACATGCGTCTGTGTCTCTCTAAGACAGAAACTGTGAAACTGTGTGTGTGTGTGTGTTTGTGTGTGTATGTGTGTGTGTAAAGGGTGAGAGACCTTCTCAGCATGTAGCAGGTTTGTTTCTGTTTCTAGTGTCTTGTTAAACTGTAAAGCAAAGTTTTGGTCTGACCAAACGAATCCCCCGGAGAATAAAATGCAAAAAATATTAAATCTTTGATTTATTTTGTAAGACAAGTATAAAAGCAATGTCAAGCTGGCAGTGATCATGACTGTGTTTGTCTTGACAGTACTTTGAGAGCATCCTTTGAACAATTAAAATCCCGTAAGTATATTTTTACTGAAAAATATCTTTACAAAGTTCTGCTTCTCTGTCAAGTGACTCATTTTGTTGTTTGGAATCTTCTGGTTGCAGAAATTGAGAACAGTGGAAACTTTCACATCCAATTATCGGATATATTGAAAGAGGAGGTGAAAAAGATTGAGACTTTCAGGGAGCATCAGAAAGAGCAGAGAAAAAAGGTACTGGGTCATTTGTGTTGCTTATTGACTGGCCTGCTGTTCGCAAAGGCAGCACATGACAGATGTGAATGCTCCAGAGATAATAATGAGAGGTTTCTTGGTGAACACTCATCCTGTTAAACTAAAAACAGTGGATGTCTAATGGCCCTGATTACAGTTACCGCTTTATTCACTTCCGAGACCTTGTGTTACCAAAGTGACGAGTCTACTGCAGTGCAGTTTCATGAACAGTGTTTCATTCTTAAATTAATTATATGTTGAATTTTCATTCTGATGGTTGACTTCATGGGGCTGATAAACTCCAAGCTCACCCTTTTCAATTCTTATAGTTTGAAAGCATCATGGAGAAGGTTCATAAGAAAAAGGTTGCTTTGTTCAAGAAGACAATGGAGGTAAGACACTGGCAGTTTCTCAATGTTTAGATGTGTTAAGTCATATAAAGGTCCTTTGGCTGACTCTGATGACCTATGAGCATCGATTTACAGACTCATAAAACGTATAGAGCAGAGGTATGCACAAGTGTAATGATTCTAAACGATAATTACATAATCTATAAACAATATTTTACACCGGAATGTGATTTTTTAAAAGTGTTGTCTATTGCGGCTCATGCTTTCTGTTTCACTTTCTCTCAGTCTAAGAAGAATTATGAAGTGAAATGCAAAGAGACTGATGAAGCAGAGCAGGGGGCTGAGAAAACAAGTACCCAATCCAAAAATCCTGAAAAGGTATCATCCTGTAAAGAAAATCCTGTAAAGATATAATAGATGAATAAAATCATGTCCTTGCCAAGACTGATTTAACAAAAACTGTATCATATTATCTTTAATGTCGTTGTCACACCTGACATTACCCTTCTGTTAAAGTTTCCTGTTAAGAAAAGTGCGACTTTCTTAAGTTGTGCAACAGCTTGCAAGAGAAACTAAAGTATGTTCATGGGCAGCATGAAATTAGCTATTTGCTATCATTCTATTCTGCTTTTATTAAGAAATGTAGTCACACAACACTGATGCAGACTCCTGTATTCTCATTTGTTTCACAGGTACGTCAAAGGATTAAACAATGCAGGCAAACAGCCAGTGAAGCAGGTATGGCTTGTTCACTTGATACAAACATTAATATTTAACTGTATCTACTATTACTATACATACAATATTTTTACTATATAAATATGTTAACTATCATTTTTGCTATTTTTACGACACCTTTTAACTGTAAATGTTGCTCATTGGTGTCAGGATACCTTTTGCATTAATTGCTAAATTCCCCTTTTTATTGCACTGAAAGTGACGCTCTTTTTACTCACAGAGAAGCTGTACTTGAACAACATTGATCAACTAGAAACTGTTCGACAAGACTGGGTGGAGACCCACAGAAGCACATGTGAGGTATGGCTTAAAACAAATGCCTGTCATTAGCTGTCTATCACCCAGAAAAAGTGCTTCAAACCCTGCAGACTGACCATTAAACCAAAACCCAAAAATACTACATAAACCTTCGACTGTTGGCCAAAGAGGAAGTGCACTTTGTGTTTCATAGTGAGAGACAAAAATGGGAACATCTATTCACTGTCATGCAGATAAACTATTTTGCAAGTTATGCTAAATGCCTTTGCCAGCCACCATGCACATTAGATCTTTGTGAGCTCTGTGCATGTCCGATGCTCAATATACAGAGCTACATTTCTTAAATTCTCATTTTGTATGCTTTCCAGGTGTTCCAACAGCTGGAGGGAGATCGCATTGGCATGATCAGGTGTGCTCTCTGGGACCACTGCAATCATTTCTCCATGCAGTGTGTCAAAGATGATGAGGTGAGGTCATGTTTTCTTCACCAAAAACAACCTTATCATTCTATGATTAGGTGTGAGTACTGCATGACTGATTATTTCCATATACACGCTTCATAGTACTTTTTTTTAGCATTGCTGTTCTTCAAAAGGAAATACTAACCACATTACTATTTCTAGAGTTGACCTACTAAGATACACATTAATAATTATGATTTCCTGTTCTTTTAAAATGAGCTCTATGAGGAGGTGAGGAAGTATCTGGAAAGGTGTGACATTATCACAGACAACAACTGCTTCATAGGGATGAAAAGCACAGGCTTGAAGCCACCAGGTGAGCTTTAATAGAAGATGAGGGAGCCCAATTTTTCCTTCAGTTTTTTTTAAGCAAATGATGGAGTGCAACTATTCAACTCAACTATTTCCCTTTTCCTTTCAGCGACCATAAAGTCAGAAAACAATATTTGAATTCTTAAAAGTGCCACTTCTCTTTCCTCCTCACAGAGCCCATAGTGTTTGAAAGCTATCACCAGAATGGGACGACAAGAACCAGCAATGGCCAAGCCAATTCTTCAAGCGCAAATAATCCTAGAAGGTGTGGCAAAAGTGTCAGGAAGAAGAATTACAGCTGATTGAAACTAGATTCAAAACCAGGGACAGTCTTAGTTTGTGAAAATTCGACTGAAATACAGGGAGATTTTTCTTGAACTTTCTGTCATTTGGATTGAATTGTTTTCTAAATCTTTGGAGAACATTTAGAGTATCTCTACTAATTTGAATAATACAGGTGCTTTGACCCGCTACTCAGGAACTCTATGAGCCTCAACCTCAGCAGCCCTATACACCCACGACCAACACTGGCATCTATTGGAGAGTGTAAGTACTGGATCTCACTCAAGTGTAGACAAACATATCCTTAACAAAGATTTGAAACTGAAGGCATCAGGCTATAGTTGATGGTAGTGTGCATTAAAATGACCATAAAAATAAAACAAATTTGTTTTTATGCAGTTGGAAGAGGTCGTTTCTTAGTGTTATATTATGACAGTGAAATGAAAAAACTTCGAAATTTAAGCCAGAAAATTACATTTGTAATCTCCTGCTTTAGTAATTTGGTTCCTTTTTTCAGGCAAGGTATCAGACGGAGGACATTCACTCCTACCAGGCGTTAAGCAAGAAGGATCACTGGCTATAGCTCCAGCTGAAAACATGTGCTATGTTGTACTTTATGACTACACTGCAAAGGTAATCCATTGATTCTCTTCAACTATTCAGCTACATCTTGCAGACATAAAAACACGTTTTTTAAAAGATGGATATTTAGACTATTCAAATAGACAAGGCAAGGTTTTGATGTCATCAGCATTTCCTATGATTGAGCAGGAAGAGGATGAGCTGTCTGTGAGCCGAGGGGACGTGGTTCAAGTGCTGCAACAAGGAGAAGATGGCTGGTGGACAGTGGAGAGGAATGAGCTCAGCGGACTGGTGCCAGGAAACTATCTGGGACAAATTTGATCATGCTTGCACGTGCACACACACGCCGAGTCCACACACTCAACCCACACACGCGCTCCTGCTAACATCAGTTTAGATTAAGATCCCACTTACAGCCCCTGCTCGCCCAGCCCTAAACTTGAGATGTCTTGAACAAAAGAAAAAAAATCTGATGTTATAGGGAGAAGCCTCTTATGTGCGGTTTTGCAGGTCCCACTCAGAATTAGACCACAAAAAGCTTTTGTTATCCCCACATTCACCAGACTCTCAAATATAAAACACGGCGCCTCAAGAAAACTTAAATCCTTAAAACATGACTCGCAATAACAGTATAAGAACATGACACACCACTGCTTAAATATTCACTTTTATAAGGCTTCAATGATACATGCTTCACAACCCCTTATGACTAATTTAAATTCTCAAACCATCACTATGTTATACCCGCTAAATCCAGTTCACATTCATCAGGGGGCTGGGACTGATCACAGATGATTTTCGTAGGTGAGGGGTTGGGTGCAACCTGAACAGGCCTACAGCTCATCACAGGCCTACGCAGAGAGAAAATAGATCATCCACTCTCACACTCACTCTTACTGTCAGTCAGGACTCACCGTTTGTGTTTGCATGTAGAATTTGAACCAGTAACAGCCACACCACTGTACTAACCCAGTTTTTTTAAGTGCTGAAAGTAGTTGATTGTCCCAGCTGTTAATTGTAGTTAGCTAATTAAAATGTTTATTAGACTACTGAAAAGCTGATATCACAGAAAGTTGCATTTCCAGAATAAAAAACAAGAACTTGCTGACTTGAATGAGCAATATGAATAAAGAACTTGTAAGTCCGAAAAATATTTTCAAATTTGCCATTTTGTTACTTTCTTACATTCGGTTTTATCCTTGAAAATACATGGCAAAATGAAAATCCATCCACCTATTTCCCTATCCCAGTTTTCCAAATGCTGACTTGGCATTATTGGCTGCATTTTCATGAATTCAATGGGTTATGTATCCTTCACAGCAAACAATTTAACCATTTTCAACAGAAAGCACAGCTATTTGTTTAAACGTGTAAGGTAGAGTTTTATTTGATCAATCAAATAGCAAATGGATAACATATTTACCCTAATACAATGCAACAAAGATGAAATTACAATCAAAACAGTCCAATTTAAATGTATGAGTTTATTTGTCTCCTGTGTGTTCTTCCCTCAAACTCAAATTCATGTCTTGTCTTTTTCTTGCAGCACTAGTTTAACATCTATGGGTCAAGTTAACAGTTCAAAAGTACTTTAAAAAATAAAAGGAACACAAATTCACAAAGAAGTATAAAACAATGTGTCAGAGTTCTTTGCATCAGGATTCTAACTATCACTAAACAGAGGCAATTCTGTGGTTAAATCAAACTGAATCTACTTGTACAATTCTTCGGGTAACACGAATCCTACCAATGGCACTGGAGAGAGAAGGTTAATTCACAACTTATACTGTATACCGGCAACGCCTCACTCATGAAGCCTGATTCAGAGAACATCCACAACAAAGTAGAAAGCACATCACTCACAACCTGAATATTTGGATATCTACTAAACATGGCTTTATGGGGAAAGAAAATCTGCAATAAAACATAAAAACAACTAAACCAAAAGGAAACTCTTTTTTCCATAACTGTCTTTTTGTCTTCGAAGCCTATGTTAAACACGGAATGAGCAGCAGAGATGAAAGTTGGATCCGGACTGACAGAAAAAGGTCTCTAATGTTCACAAAGTCTGGTTAAACCAGGATTTTGGGAGTAGTGTACATGATTCCACACAGGTTTGCATAACCTATGCATCCAAACAACAATTTAGTATCTTCATAACTTCGGTCATCGTGCAAACCTGCACACAAATTACATTCTATACAACATCCTCAGCCACACCTCCAGACAGAAGCTCCACATTACGGTTCATCATCCTAACTGAAGATAAAAATACATTTCATGAAACCACAGTTTATAGAGAAAAACATATCTGCAACATAATGCCAGTTAGCCACATACAACTTTGGCTTTAACATGTAGGTTGGGATTTGTATGAAAAGTGAAACATTTAAAGTAATAGTAACTTAGAGAGCATGTCAATAAATACATGGTTTTCCTGTTGAGGCCCCTGCCCGACCCAAACCACATTGTCAGTGTTTGCTACCTAAGCATGAGTTGTGCGAGGTGAGCTTGAGCTTATGTAACTACAGCTGAAATCTACTGTGAACATGTCCTGTGATGCTCTTGCTGATTTTCTGAGTGCTGTGTTGGTTGGCTGCATCCTTCACGCATAGCTGTTGGTTGTCACCAGCAGCTCGTACGCTGGATCGTGGCTCCTCCTGCACAGCACCACGCAGGCACAGAGCATGCCTAGCATCTGCAGGCAAATGCAGAAAGTTCCTGTGTTAAGTCTGTTCTCTTCTCAGCTAACTTTATGAGCAAACTGACCGAAAAAGGCTTTTGCTTTCCTTACAGCTAAGTTGAGAAAAACTACACAGAAGACACACTGTATTTAAAGCCTGTTTTCAGAGCAGCAAAGAGCAGAAAACAACTGTTAGGATGATTAATTTACTCCACTATGATATAACAGGACACAGCACTGCATGACGGGTATTTTAATCCTAATCGTTCAGGATGAAAGGTGTGTTGTTAATCACTGCGTCACAGAGAAAGATGAAGCGATACCACATGCAAATAAACACATAACAAAATACAGACTAAATACTGAACACTATCCATTATTTAGTACTATTTATTGTAAGAAAGCTATTTGATTTGAGCACAAAACTGAGATGCAGGAATGAACCGCGGGATGATGCAAGAGACTAACTGCCTCTAAAGGAGACGACCTGACAGCATCCAAAGTGACCTTTATTTAATATGTTTAAACCATAAGATTTCCTTGCCTTGTGCTACTTACCTGTATTGATGCAAAAGTTAATGCGGCCCATATGACATACATCATGATCTCCTTCAATTTCTTCACAACCAGAGCCTCACAACCCTACAACAGAACAGAAATGTCACAGAGTGTTGTGCTTCACAGCGGCAAACACTCTCCTAAAATAGCCTGACGCATCGAATATGATCATTAATAACTTTGCAGCTTGCGCCTGTGTGATCTGTTAAAGTTCCATTTTTCTGAGCGTACCTCTTGATAGAGATCTGCTGGTCGGGTCAGAGTGCCTGTGCAGTTGCTGATGTTGGGCTGACAGCAGCTGACCGGGACACTGTTGTTCTTGGATTCTTTAAACCAGCTGGTGTTCCTCCAGTCAGAGTAATTGTGGATACCACAGCAGTGAAGCTACAGGCAGAATCATCAAAAATGTTGAGAGAAAACTTCCAACTTCTGGAGTTTGATAGTGGAACGTAATCTAAATATACAGTATGTACAAATAACTCAGAAGGTCTCGTGGAAAAATGCAAATTGAAGCTGACATTTTCCTCACCTGCTTTTGCACGTAATCAATAGCCCGGCTGGGAGCATCAGTGTTGGGGCCGCTGTATTCATTGTAAACCTTCTGGATGGAGTGATTCACCTCATCCTCTACCTGCAAGATAAACACAATAAAATTATCTCCAGCTATTCTGTTTTGCCTTTGCATCTGCAGGAAATATAATCTCTGACCTACTGGGCATACTAAAACACGCGTTTACCTTTGCCCTGTATATGTAGCCGAGCACCACCACCACGCATTCTGTCACAAAGACCAACAGGAGAATAGCCGCAAACTGAAATTATACAGCAAAAATAAGATCAACACGTTAGTCTACACGTTTTAATGAATTATTATCAAAACATAATTCAGGTCTTTACGCCTTAGAACAGCTTTTTTTTGTTGCTGTTACAAAGATACAAAGATGCCGTTGTAAATATTTAAACTAAAAAAAATGGTCAGAGGCTAATATGTAGCACTAGTCAACATTATAGAAAAAAGACATCTTATAGATTTGTCTGAAGTTTTATGCCAACAATTTAAAACTTTTAAGGGCCAAGTAGAAAAATGACAGATTATCACATCAGAAGCATGTCAAATTGGAGGCTTGTTTTACAACAACCATGCAGCACTAATCCTGCAGTGTGAACAGGTGTGTATCCCATGTCCACTGCATTCTGTCCATTTTAAATCAACACCCACTGTTGCCAAGCCACAGGAGCTTTCACGTATTGTTGCGCAGCAGCCAATCAATCCAATGATGAAAAGGAGAGTCCCGACAGCGATGATTACAATAGCAGGAATCAGAGTGTAAACGTCCTCAAAGAAGTGGTCATAGTCATCGTATGTGATGAAGACATACGCTCCAATGTAGCATAAAATTCCAGCCGCAGCCTGTGGAGACAAAGACAGAGAAGGACCTCAGAGAAAATGAGGCAGGCATGCCAATACACTGACTTGTTAGAGGAGGAATTTTGGTCAGAAGTGAAGAGATAAAGACAACTGGGATGAAGGAAATAAAAGAAGCTTAGCACAAAATCAATGAATACTTTGACTGGAATACTAAGAATTTAGACTTTCAAACATGAAGGAGGGTTTAATATGGATTGTAAACTCAAGCATCCGTCAAAGTATTTCATTTAAGGCTCTGTTTATCGCCAGATGTTTGATTATTTGAACCCATCTCTGCTGCCCAGATCATCTTACAATGCGCTGTGACTCAGGAAGTGAACAGCTGTCCACACCTGACCGCTGATGCATTGCATCATTGATTTTTAACGCCACTAACATCACTGCTTTGACCCCAACAATGTCGGTTCTACCGTTGTTCCGCTTAATACACAAAAAAACAAGTAACAACAAGCCCTTTTGGCATTCTGCCTCATACAGCTACTCTTCCATCCCCAAACTGAAGACTGCAGCGCATCTCTGGCGCAGTCTGCTAGCTTGCTAACGCTCCCCATCCTCGGCCTCACAGGGATGCTGCACATTGTTCTATTCACATCAAACATCTTCCGTTTTCTTACCCAAAATATGAGATTTAGGAAAACCAAGACGGTTTTGGATGACGTGATACCACACTGTCCCATGTTGTCGTGAGGACAAATATTAAAACAGATATTATCTTTAAAGAAAATTTTCGGTGCACCTGCACCTTTGCTGTTAAAATAATAAAATGGCTCCGCTCTGCCCCACCGTCCGGATTCCCTCAGGCTCGACCAATGAGATCGCCGTAAAGAACAGGATTATGGTCACATGTTCTGGTGACATCACCAGTCAAAACAAACAGTCCTATTGATTGCAGAGGGCTGATCCTTGAAATGCTGAAGGATTATAAAATAAATCTGTACAATATTAATACGCATTTAAAGATTCACTTTTTAGCTAAATTCTATTGTAAAAAGTTATCATATACAGGTTTTGAGCACCACTTTACAATTCACAGACCTACTGCACGAATACTACACGTCATTCAGACGTGAGAGGGACAATAGCATTAATATATATAGGGTTTTTTTTTCTGCAAGCCCTGTGTAATTTTGACATCAATGCACCTGGAAGGCTTCCAGGTGTAGGCTGTAGAATATTTAAGGTATCTTATGTGTGTTGTGCACACTGTGGACTCTCTTGTTTGTTTGGAAAATCGAGCTGTATGACTCCTTCCTTTGGCTCTGAAATTTCACAGCTTTTTTTTTGTTGTTGTCTCAGACCAATCTTTAAACGTTTCAAAAGAAAATAGCAGAGATATTGTATTATGATAGCAGTCACTTGTGTCTTTGTGTTAATGCTGCTCAACATCTGCTGACAGAAGTTTAGAGGTCACCCATGGCAGAAATAAGTTGGACAATCTGTCAAAAAGTCAGGAAGTGCAGTTTATGTTTCTGATCCACTCCTTGGAAAGAATTGAATGTTTTGGTCATTTGGACGAAGTGTACAGTTTGCAGTTATACTTACTATATGATTAGTTTTAGTGTTGTATCATTTTCCTGTAGCATCACTGTTTTAAATCCCAGATAAAACTGGTGGGAGGAACATGTTTCATTGTAGTGGAGGCTGCTGTACCAGAGGGTGGCAGTGTGTCATAGCTTGTTTCACTTTGGTGCACAACCTGCAAGAGGGAGATATAGGATAAGCAGCCAGTGTAAACACCTTGTAAGCATGTTATGATCCATGCTAGATCAACATGAATAATTTCGGTGTTGAGTGTATAGAGGCTGAAACAGATTTATTGGCAGTAAACCCACACAGTCCGTTGGCAAAAATTAATCACTTTAAGATGCATGTGTCCCTCCTGTGGCACTTGTGCGTTTCCGATGAGCCCAAGATGGATCACTCAATTGAAAATGAGTTGTGGTACTCAATAATGACTTGAACTTACACCCGAAGCTTTGGTTATATTGAGTGAAAGTATGACCCATTTGTCTCTGTCCCCTTTTTGTGTGTAAACTGAGCCAGTGAGGAACCTACAAACTCCCAAGCAAGCTCAGGCAACCTCTGTTGATATAATATACATTTTAAATGTGAATAATGAATGAAGTTTACCTGTTGGCTATAATTTCAGTCTTTGCAAAAACAGAATCAAAAAGAAGGAAAAGACAAGAACATATGCAGGAAGATAAAGATAGATTTGGAGATCTGCTTCTTTAACTTTGGATCCCAAGATGTTATCCCCTGTTAAAAATATTATCAGCTTTAAAGTGTGTATTAGTTGCACATCAAAATTAGCAGATATTGAAATAATATGGTAGGACAACTAGTGGTTGATTTTATTAATGCTTGCAACAAATCTAGAGGGAGAGAAAATGTTATGTTCACTATTAACTCTAAAGATGAAGACAATGAATAATTAGCAAACACTTTGGCTCTCAAGAAGATTAAGCTTACCTGCCTAACAGGTGTACTGACACCATCTGTTGTTTCAAATAAACAATAAAATCTCTCTTCATTTGATTATTAAATTGGAGAATAAAGCTGTTGTGGATATACTCTCATAACAAATGACTCACACTTACAGTTCATCAACATGTGAAAAACCTTTCCCTGGCACATTCAACCACATGCATATCAGTCACAATAGCCACTTGGGCATGCAAATGGCATAAGAAGTTTACTTACCGGATTAAAGGTACGTAGTTTGTGTTTGATATTTTGCTGCAGGTTGTTGTTTTTTTACTTGCAAATAAAGGATTTTGTGAGGCTAGTGGAGATGGGAAGTCTGATTTTTGGGATTCAGGATACGCCGATGTTCCTTATTATTATCATCATTGTTTTTTTTTTTAAATCATTATAATAATTACTTTTGACAGAGCCAAACATTTCTATATTGTTTACATCAGATGACATTTACCAGGATGTTGTGGATTTTCTTTTTTTTTATTACTGAGGTCAATTTAATCTATCACAAAAATTCTATCAGACTTGTGGACTTGCTTCTGTTAGGATGAAACCACACCTGTTACAGTGAGTCACTACTTAATCCCCTTTAATTTAAGATACTGGACACATCTGTTAGATATGAGTGTTTGCTGTTATTAATTCATGATAGCTTTAAAGCTTTAAACAGATAGCAAAATAAGTTATAATTTAATTTAGTCATAATGTCACACGATATATGAGTGAATAATAGAATAGTCCTGTTGGGAAAAGATGTATACAGTAACTGTTTATAAACATATACTGTATGTATATACATATATATATATATATAGGTTTTAATTTTTTTATACTATTTAATCTTTGTGATTTAAACCTCTGCAGAGTCTACACTGATACTGAGTTACTTTCAACCTTATACGTATTAATCTAAAGAGAATCAGCCAAGTCTAAAAATACTTACCTGCCACAAAGGGAAGATTTGAGTGATATAATTTCAGTGCATGACAAAAATATATCTTTCCTGGAATTTACGCAATATTTTACTTGGCAAGCATATATCTCTTTTGACAGGCGTGGCTGACTTGTTCATTTATGTGGGATGAAAGAAACAAGGATTACTAGATAAATCTGAGAACATAAGGGAGAAAAGCATTTTTTTCAACATCAGAGCAAATTCAAGGTAAACAGAAGGTAAGGATATGCCAAACCGAATGCTTCAGTCTGGTAGCTTCCTTCTCCTCGGTAGTTCAATAGTTGGTTGCTGGGATCTGTAACTTTCAGTCAGGCACACATACCTAGATCCAAAAATACACAACTATGTAGATAATATTTATTAGTTTACCTCTAAATCTGACTTTACAACAAATTTGGTTCAAAAATTAAATGTGTGAGATTATACTGTTCAGGCATTGCAGATTTACGCAGGCATAGCTTGGGTAATTGTATGATTTGTGTGAATCTGAACAAGGCCCCTCTTGAAATAAATATGACTTCCTAACAGCATTTATTGTCATTCTACAGATTGTTTCTGACTCAAACTGTTTAATAAAAGTTTGGAATATATATTCAATTTCACGTTCGAGTGTTCCAAATTCTTAAGTTTGGAAGAAGGTCAGTTCAGATGATCATGACTTCATTTCTAACAATGAATGTTGGCAAAGTACGATCCCTCTTTCAAGAAGGGTCTTAAAAGTAATTGTTTGTACTGAAGAGTTGCATGTGCTCAGACAAACAGATATCCAAGCAAAAAGTTCCTTCAGTCTTTAACTTTTAACATTGTTCGAGTGAGTATTCTCCTGCCCTTGATGTTACATCAAACCGTGCTTTAGACAGAGGGCACATCACACACTTTACAATGCCAACAACATAGAGACAAAACATTGTGGGAGAGACACTGAAACTGCCCACAAATTTATAATACAACAAGTTAGCCCAAAGTACAGAAGCTGCATCATCTCACTTTTCTTGTATTGATTTAGGGTACAGATCATCCTTTCATGTAAAGGACAGAAACGAAGAGAAGATATTGATTTCATGTGGAAGACTTAGAGGAGAACAGAAAATGGGATTTATGTAAGCTGCCTACATTTGTATTTATATAAGTGTTATTTTATAAGATTTTCCGACCTAAAGGGGAAAATTCTTGTTCATGATAAATAATCAAATGTTTTTTATGGGATCATGGGTGGTCATCTAAGATTCTGGAAGAGGAAAGTTAAATGGATAACATTTGGGCTAGGTAAAACATAGATAAAATGTTTTGTGTTTATTTCAGACCCTTTAGCAGCCTGCAGCTTTACTGCAATCCTTTAGCCCGCAAGTGAGAGAAGAGAATGAACCAATCTTTCATGGGGCTTTGAGACATGAGCGGTTTCAGTCAAGTTTTCCTCAGTCAAAGCTGTTTAGTAACCAAAAGAACCCCAGAGATGAAATCACAGGGCAGGCTTTGCGTCTTGTGGCGGGGCACTCATGCAGGACAATGACACACCACATCAGTCAACACATTGCAAATAATCATTTTTATTTCATACAAATAGCTTAGCTTAATGAACAAGAACACCATGTGCAATATATACATTAGAATGAATTGGAAAAAGCTGTGGCCTGCTGCAAATGGAAAGCTAGTTATGACAGCTGCAGTAAAACACACTCGTGATGAACAGAAATCTTGATCCATTTATCTTATCCCATGAGGCCCGGTGACCTCGAATACCAGTTCGTGCCAGGCAGCTTCCATCCTCTGCGTCACTTTCTGTTTTGGATGTAGTTTTCTAAAATCTTCATCAGCAAGTCCGCCTCCTGAAACAGAGTGCATCACATAGTCTAGAACCAAATCTAAAGAACGCTCGTTTCTAAAATCTTGGTCAAGTCAGGGTCGGGGCAGCCAGGTTCTCACCAGATTTTTTGAGCGCCTCTGTTGTGTGTCCGCTTGAGTTTGCAAGGCAGCGCGGAGAAAGTCTTGGAAAAGCTCCCCGAGTGCCGTCTGCTCCTCAGGAAGGCTGACTTCCAGCCCATCGTCAGCCTGGTCCTCAGGTGAGGGCAGCAGAGGGGTATCCATCACACTCTTCTTACCCATGAAATGCCCTACCACACCAAAATGATTATTTAATCATATAAATATTTATTACTTAGTAGAAAAAGGGCGATTCTGTTAGAATAAGTCTATTGAATCGATTGAGAGAGTTAAAAACTTACCTGTAGCCCAAAGATTGCTTCTTGGATTCACTTTGATTTTTGCAACTTTATTCCTGAGCTCAGTTAAGTCGAAACTAACTGCATCGGTCAAAGACAAGAAAGAAAACAAGACCAGGTATGTGAATACGCCACAATGGCAGATATTACTCAACGTGAGTCCTCTCATCTCAGCGTGAGGTGTTGAGCTTTTCTCCGGGGCGCAAATTTCTAAGTCTCTCCAGTGAGTGGTGGGCTTCTCAGACGCGTCCTGCTTTTATATGCTCTCCTGGAAGGGTTGGGCTCTGGCTGTGCAGCCTTTTCTATTCATTCAGTATGCTGCGTAAATTGGGATGAAATCAGTTGAGTCATTGTGGAAGTTCTGATGGAATGCGTCTGGCTGTGCGTAATTCAAACTCCAAGCGCACCCACGTATTAATAGACCAGTGCACAATTTCCATTTCTTTTACTTTAACATTACCATTGTTGTCCAGTTTTTCTAGGATGGTGACGTTAGACAGTAATTTATCGCAGATAAGGATTAAACACATTTCTTAAGTGTTTGGATACATGACTTCTCTTATAAATATAGATGCTTCAAGGAACATTCCTCCAAACAGCGAACAGTCGTGATCCATATCAAAGCTCTACATGAAATTCCCGGAAAAAGTATTTTTGAGGGCTTTTTTAAGCTTCTGAACCCGAAATAATATCTTGAACATTTGTGCAATAATGGTGTAAATTGTGTGTTTTCATCATCTGAATGATGCTCGTGCGCTTCTGTGCAACAATACAACTAGTTGCTGTTTACCCCACCTCCTAAGTCCAAAGCCAGGTTTGGCCCCTTCCATCGAGCAACATGACATTTGGCCAGTTGCAACACGCTACTCTGATCATCATCAGCTCTCCCAGGACAGGACAACCTGCTGATTTTCTCTGCTAATTTAGAGCTGATAAGACAGATGGCCTCTTCGTCACTTCAGGGTGCTAATGTCGGAGTTATGGTGGGAGAGCTGCTGTTTCTATCTTACTCTTTTAATAACCTTTGACATTAACACACATATTGAGATTTCATACATTCTGCACAGTTGAATGTCAGTCTAATTAGAAGATGTCTGAACATCACAGCGTCACACTGCCCATACCTACAGGTCCAGCAGCAATGGCCCCATATTAGTAGATATTTGCATATCAGGTTCAAAAGAACTGAGCAGGAGGTCAAAGAGTGGAACTAATCATATGGGGTTACCCATTGGACAGTTGTTTGACATTAATGGTCCTAATTTGTTTTGTAAGACCACTTAAGACACATTCACTTATAATTGTGGATTCAAAGAGTATTAATGAGAGTGCTTTGTTTGCCAGAAGAGTTGCGGCTGAAGGCTGCTGATAATGTAAGGACTTAATGTAATTGGATGGCTGTTAGTACATTTATGTTCTTTTGAGGTCCGTCCAGTTACAGACAAGAGTACAATCAGTGGTTAAAGTTCAAGTACCCAAATAGGAATTTGAAATGGATCCATATTAAGGTTATTTGTCAATGTATACCATTCTGATTACATGATGGTGACTGACAGCCATGAGAGCATTTCCCTTGATTGTGCTCACACTGAAGTGTGCTCATGTAATAATACAGAAAACAAGGTTATCACTTAAAGCATTTCTTCACATTGTAATAAACAATATATTCACGCCTGCTCGCTGCAGCACAAACATTTAGAAATGAATGTATCCCTTTTCAAACAATACATATGCAGGTTTGCGTTGTGGGTGCGTGAGTTAATGTATGTTTAGAGGACTGTTTGCAATCTTAAGATGTTTGTGTCCTACATGAGAAAACTCAATCAAAACATGGGGGGAAAAAAACGCCGTCACTTTTCAATTTGCCACAAAACACGTGGATGGTTAATGACTTTGGGCACAGCTCCCCGAGATTAAACAGAAGCGGTTAATGGTGCTGCAGTATTTTGGAATAACGAATAAAAATAACAGTTAAGCACGGACACCACATATATTCTTTTTTTAATATTTTTTTTCACTGTGTGAGAACAGTACATGTATCAAATTGCCAAAACGGTTTTGAAATATTGGTAATGTAAGGGTCTCCCTAGAAGCAACAAATAGAAAGGCTTGGACTCCTAAAAAAAAGAAAAGAAAAAAAATGTTTCCATAACTTATATGAACAGTAAAGAGAAAGTTTTCTTGTTGAGATTCAGTTTGAATCATTTACATGAAGTAAAAACAATATAGTTGAATGGAGGCCAAAACAATACAAGGCAAAAAGTTTAAAAATATATGGTGGATGGTAACCAGATTTCATATCTAATATTCATATTCAGTTTGCATAAAATACTTCACATCTTTATCAAAGACAATGAATCAACACAAAATGAACAAGACTTAGTTTTATCCCTAAGAATGCAGCTTCACATTCTGGAGATTACAAATAAAAGTGGACTTCAAATTAAACCTAGTTCCCTCACAAAAATACTTTCAAAGCTTGAATTTGCTTAAACATAAGGAACCCTATCCACATTCCTACAAAATGTCCAAAGAAATGGTACAAAAAAGCCAGTTGTGTTTGATAAAGTCTAGTTTCGAAAGGCATGACTGAGGTTTCCTGGACGTAGTTCATTCTTCTTGAGCGCTCAAGTGTTGACACCTCACTCCCGATGGACCAACACAAAGAGCCCCAGCATGAAGAGCACGGCATACTGCAGGATGCAAAAAGGGTAAAACCATGAGATATTGAACCACACATTCTTTCAAATGAAATGCATGTTTTAAATCGGGGCTATTTAATAAGAATAACTAACTTACTTTGAACTTGGGGTAGTCATTCATAAGAATGGTAACAATTCCAATATATGGCACAAAACTGTAGGACAGAAATGAAAGACAGTCAGAAAACTACCAACAAAACATGTAAAGAACAAAACTCCATATGTCCACATAATAATTAATTGAAAAAAAAATTTAATGCACTTATGCTCAGTTCATTTATTTGATGGTGGATATTGACACACAAATATACTTTTAACACTAACATTTTGCTTAATTATATCTGATGGTTGCACTTGATCAAAACTTGACCCTGACTTTGAAAATCATGACAACAACTTACCATTAGATATTCAAACACACCACAGTACCCAACAAAAACGCAACACAGCAGATGATAATCGCTTCTCATCTAGTTGTCATTGAAAACTAAACAAAAATGAATTAATGTTGATAGAAAATGACTGAAAGCTGATTACACAACAACCTTTAGCTGTGGATTGTGACTTTCATATAATCACCCGATTGCCTAAAAAGCTTGGTTTAGAGGATTTATTCCTACATGGGTTATCTATGCAGAAAATGCCACTCTAATCAATACTGTTTTAACATATTAAGAACAATATCAAACTTTTTAAACCCCTAAAACATACCCCCTTGCTCGTCCGACCACATCTTTTTTCTCCAGCCAATGTTGCCCCTGCTTGTACAGTCCTCTGTCATCCACCGCATTGTTGTCACCTTTGGTCAAGAACTTAATGTCTCCATTCTCCCTGTGAACAGAATATAAGGATCCTTTTCACACATCCAGGGACACCAGGTCCCTTCAGCAACATTTTGGGTTGGGCTGAGGATTCGTGATGGGTGCAAAATGTCCCATAGCTTCCCCATAGATCATTTAAGATAGCTCTGTTGTATAATGCACAATAATGAAGGGATAATTCAGGTTTAACTATCAGCAGAATGTCATGCATGACTATTCTATTGAAATATGCATTCATACTTTTCGTGGATCTTCAGAACTCTGTGTACTATTGGTATCTCTCTGCCTTCTATCCTGAAGACAACAATCTCCCCGACTCTGATGGGATCCTCTACTCGGTTGGTCAGAAACAAAAGGTCTCCTCTATGGAATGCTGGCTCCATACTTCCACTGAAATTAGAAAGATTGGAAAAAATATGAATTAACTTGAGATCATTTAAAAACCACATATTATTTAGTATTTATCCACATATCTGGAGGAGAAGGATGAGTGTTTGCAGTGTTTAGGAATGCTTCAGAGTTCAGGATAAAATGCATACTCGTGCAAATTCTGAGGTTTTTTATTCACCGTTACTTTCAACTCAGCATCTTAACATTTTCTGGCTCATCAGAACAAAAAAATCCCGCATCTGGACATCTCCACCTGCCTGCAATCATTAGAGATCCCTTAAAAACCCAAACAAAACTAAATATTAGTTTAGTTTCTATGAATAGAAAAAATTTTGAAATAATAAGTTGTCATTGAATGATTTTGAATTTCACGACCTAACCTTCAAGTGTAAGTCACTAGTTCAGTTGTTTATGTCTATAAAGAGTCAAAATGTGTTTCACAGGGGGTAAAACATTACCTGAGAGTTGCTAAAGCTGAGACACAGCTCAGTCACTCCTGGTTAAGCTCGCACCACAGATTAATTTCTCTCAGATGGCTGAAAGCTATTACATAGTGTACGAGAAGCGAGAACCTTGTTCACGCTCCCACAGCTGAGCAAACACAATGACGACATTCTACTTTCTCAGCCCTGGTTTGGGAATTCTTGCAGCTTGTTCTCGACACTTTTTCTGTGCAGAACTTCTTTCAAGAACTAGAACTGTTGTGTTATTGTGTTAGCTTGAGGACACACTGTGAGCTCCTAGAAGCTATTCGATGTGACTGCTGATGTCTCCTGGGCAGAGAAAACAACACTGAGACCAAAGGTAAAAACATCCAGACCCATGAAAATGGGCATGTCACACACCTGTCAAACTACCATACTGTTGAGTGTTCCAACATGCAACCCATGTTCACTTATTTTTCCCACATCTTCAGCAAACGTATTGAACGACAAGAAATAATCTTCCTTGTCTGTCTCAGTTTGTTCCCCTCGTCGGAAAACAAAGCTCTCTGCCACTGTCGTCCTGTTGTGTGTCAAAATTCCACAATCATATTGCGTGTGTTCTGTATGGTGCAGTGGATAAAAATTTATAGGATTTCAGCGGCAGAGCTCCCTGCGTTGTATGTGATATCAAAGCTGAAACAAACTCTCTTCTAGCCACCTCAGAAACAAATAAAAAACATATTGGTTCTCAGAGTATGAAACAACAATGACACTTATCTACCGTTTGTCCATTCCTGGTCACTTTGATGTCCTTTAGGCTTTTAATAAGTCTTTGATCCATAGTGTACATGCACGTATATCATCTATCTCCTCAACAAACTCCACTACAAATTTATATCTGTTATTCATGAACTCACCTGGGCTTGACTGTCTAACACAACATATATTTTCACCAGCAGATCCTACAGATGCTACATTTAAAGAGAATGTTAAAAGCAACACCTGAAAGAAGCGTAACAAACTTACCTGAGAACAACAACTATGGGACTTTCACTGCCAGTGACAACCATCAGTCCCTTCCAGATCATGAGTGCTGAGGAAACAATCATACCAAAATTCAGCACCTGGTAATAGAGCTGCAAATGGAAGAAAAGAAAAGAAAGTTAACAAACAAATCGTAAACAATATATATATATATAAATATATATTTACACATACATTCAAATACAAATATATATTATGATATGACTTCGGGGGACTTCCTCATGATGAGTTTCAGAAAAAAATCATTCAAGTAGCTTATGTACTTCCGTTGGTTTCAGCCGTTACACCAAAGTCCTATAACAACATTAATGTGGTGTATATCTAGCTACAATTTAGTCAGAACTTTAGTTTAGCCTCGCTTTACAAAAATAATTCATACTGCATTAAAACAATAATCCACGTGAACACCTAACGGGGATCAAACTGATCATTTTGCAGGTCGCTAACTGACAGACGTGTTACAACGTTAAAAGGCGGTCGGCGGCTAGTTGTTAGCTCCTCGGTACACTGCCATACAAAGAGCCTGCCATAACCTCGAAGGAAACCAAAGACCAGTTACCTACCTGTCGCTTATTCATGCGACGAACATCGTCCAGAAAATCTAAAGATAACATTGTTGCAAATACCACGGTGTATAAAAAACACCAAAATTACATGAACACGTTTAAAGTAGCGAGCATATGGATGCAAGCAGAAGGAACAGCGAAACTTGCATCCGAATCTTCCGGGTGCCCTAAACCGGAAGTCCCGCCCACGCGCGAGTGCTGTGTTGAGGTGTCATTTTAGGATACGAGCGCAGCAAACAGTCGAGGCTTCCGATAGTAGCACAAATGTAAAAATATGTTCTATAGTTTGTAATGCTGGATGTTTCTATTTACACGATGGGTTTAAACCAAAACTTGATAAAGAAACCTTGTATTTCACAAATAAAAAAGTTCTACTGCGACATTTGCTATGAATTCACACCACATTGCTCGTCTAACGCAGTGTTGCCTCGGAACTGCACCAGCTGCTAGTTTGCACTGCAATTGGTTTAACCTTGGCAAAACATAACTTAATTTTTATTTTGAACAAGTTAGTAACATTTTGATAAAGACACACAACTTTAAAAGAAGTGATTTTTTAGCCTCATCTGAGTTTAGCTTATCATTATACAGTATATACAGTATAAACACAGAAGTATTTGTCAATTTGACAATATAAAACAGATTAGGTCAAGTTAACAATAAGAGATTTATTGTGTGACAGTGGTTCATAAGCCAAAAAGTACCAATAAAAAAAAATCATTTATGACAAATTGATGGCTGCCTTAATATGGGGAAACCTTACTCTGCAAATAAGAGTAAATATTTTTATTAACAGTAAAAATTTAATATAGGTTTGTTCACTTTCCACTGTCGCCTTAATGAACTATTTTCCAAATCAATACTGCAATCATTTAGCAAAAATATTTTTGGCCAACCACTGTTAGATGCTTTTCAATCTCATATAATTTCCTACAGGGCGTCTGTATCACTGTGTAAGCAATAACATGATTAAAGGCTACACACCTGTAATCATGAGTCCTTTCTGACTGTTGAGTCAGTCCTGTGGTGCTGGTGATTAACACAAAAGTCAAATGTCAGTGGAATATTTTTAAACAGTGGGGGTTTATCGTGGCATTCCTTGCTCAATTCATTTATGTTCCTACAGGTTATTTTTTAATGTCTAGGTATAATTTTGTTTTTGTCGGATTTTTGTTCTCATGCAAAGTGTCATAGTAACATTTTGTTGTGTTTCTTTTGACGGTTGAATACGAACCCCTATTTCCCAAAACTTTAAAACAAGGCATGCAATGCTATTAATGTACTGAAGAAATATTGGTTGCATAGAAAATTTATATCAAATATTTCACAAAACAAGGATATATAATTTCTTTTTTCATGTATGTTCATAATAATGACCATTAGATAACTCATTGCAATTTTAAAGAGAAAGTGTAATTTCCTATCCCTTGAGTGTGAAAGCAGATGAACAGAACAAAGCAGATGATTGCTTTTTTCACAGATAGTTCGAGTAACATTTTATGGTCTAGGTGTGACATTTAAAAAACTATGTTTCATAACTTGTGTTTCATGTGGGCATCACATACCTAAACTTTCAGACAGTGAGTGAGTGTACTTCCTCTAGTATATCCTATGACCACGTATAGTCAATGAAAAACTTTCCTCTCTCAAATCGTTAAGCAGGATGTTACAGGATTAAAGCAAAAAACAAAACAAAAAACATACCTATGTGCCCTTGCCACCAAATCTGTAGAAGGTTAAGATATGGAAAGCTTTATTTTTATGTGAAACTGCAATATCTTTAATCACTGTGTGTGTTTTGCATAGAGGAGCCTGAAAATGATTCTTTAGTGTGAAAAAAGGAAATTGGTTGCTGGTTTTCATTTTTAAATCTCACATCCTTATTACCCTCAGGGGCAGATCATTTGAAAATCAAATTTTTTATATATTTATTTTGGGGTGTACACTCTTTTAAAATGTGGACGTGTCTGCTTTATTTTTCCCACCTTCCTGTTCATATAGATTGAGTAAAGTTCTGAATCTCGGTGGTGGTAAAATGGATCACAATGACATGACAAGATTTTTGATGTGTTAAAAAAAGCAGTTCATCTTAGCCTTTATTGCTTCGAAAGAGAAAATTACAACTCTATTCCATGTAATATATCTCATTTTCTCACATCAGAAATGGACATAATAAATAGTAAAATCACACATATGATGATGGAGAACCATTCAAAAGTTATACAGTACAGTACAGTTCTCCTTTCTTAAGCAATGAGCAGTCGTTATTATGTCAGAGTGCTCTAAATTAATGCGTCATCCCAACATGGCTACTGAGTGATGGGCAAACCACAATCAGATTAATTTGTTGAGACAATTTAGGTGCGTCCTTCCACATGAATACCTTAAGTACTACTGATAACTGCGGTTGTAACATAACCATGGTTGGCTTTTCCCATCAGGGGTCGCCCCAGCATGTCACCCTTGACTTGCACGGTAAGCTTGGCAGGAGTTTTTACATCGAATGCCTTTCCTGACGCAAACCTCACATTTCTCCGGGCTTTGAACATTGCACCCTGTTTGAGGCTAGATTACAGGCAACTGGGCTACAATGTCTTCCCCAAAGTGATCTCCACGTGTGACCGGGGAATGAGACAACCACGCCAAACGCAGAGCCACGGCCGCCCCAATCTAAGAGGGTTTTAACCGATGGTCAAAACCTCAGTTGTCAGAAGAGAATGCCATGGTAAGCTTAATGTAAGATCAGTTGCTTTGAACAGATTTTTGTTCCCTACCCTTTTTCTGGACCTTGTTTATAGCAGAGCATCTATCTGTTGTCATCGCCCTTTTTTGCTCTGCAGTAAATAGTACGTAGGCAACACTGATTTTTATTCAGATTTAGCCTTTGCATCCCCTTTTGGAGAAAATGATGTGAGATATGTATCAGAAGGTCATTATTTCATTGTCAACTGGGATTTGGTAGAATAATACGGAGTTGACGATCAACTTAGTGATGGCAGGGAGACCAGTGGCAATGCACGACTTTTGGAGGAGTGGAGATAAAAGTTTTTTTCAAATGCCAGCTTGTCTGTGGCATTTAGGAACGTGTGGTCCTTTTCATCAAATATGCCTTGTTGGTCACAACCACATTGGCCCACTGATGGTAATTGAGGTCAGTTATGCACACTGATGGGAAATAAAGGCCCACTGTGAGCTTTATACATAGCACTCGCCCAGCATGTGTTTCCGCTTTTCCTCATTTTTATTTTTGATTTAATCATATCTTATCCATTGTGCATTTTTAAGATGAATAACTTTACCTCATATAACCTTTTGCAGCTCATGAATATCTACAGACATTTTTTTCTCATGTAACTACATTTTTATCTTTCAAATTGATCCAAATGAAAAATGTTGAGCATATTTTTACATGTTTCCCTCAAAAATGTGAGTTTGAATCCTGTAGATGTGTTTAATATACTAAAGATTTGCATACTGAGTGCAAGATATTCACATTAACTCAATGTTATGTCTTATTAAGTCTAATAAAAAATGACTTTGTCCGGAATGTACATGCAGAATTTCTTCTTTTGGGCATTAATAGTTCTTTCATTTGTTGCGTCTTATCATAGGAATTAATGCAGTGTGATCTCTAACGTATTTAATCAGAGCCAGTCATGAAGAGCTGTGCCAACACATATAATTTTTCTGTAATGTCCCACTCAAAATATTTGTCTTTAATATTTTTACAGAAAAAATAACAGTGAAGGGTTGTCTAAATTGTGATGTTGCTTCTCTCAAAGAGATACTTTGAAAAGGTTATACAAAGTAAAGACTTGATTTTTAAAATTATTTAAAACTAACACCATTGTGATCATTTATCATTATCCACTGTATTATTGTTTAGCTTTCAAAGTTGAGTTACATAGTATCAGGTGTAATATGGACATATGTGACAGAGACGATATCGGCAACATTCATTGACAGACCTAAGTGAATGTAATGACATTTTTAAAATTATTCTTCATATGAACAGGCTTTTCATTACTTCTCTTATTTCCCATTTCAGTGTAATTCACCTAACAGTAGGTGGCAGGAGTGTTGTGTTCCATTACAGGTCCAGACTACTTCACGGTGTTGCAACATTATAGTCACAAATAAAACGATTCTTAATGGTGGTTTGTCGAATCATGTATTCAAGTGTAAGATAAGATATTTGTCATGAGACAGATATCTGTTCGTTTTGTTCTGAATCCATTTTTTGTTTTAAACTTAGGATTTCTACAGCTGTGTAATTTTGTATTTATATTCCTATTCTATTATGCTTTCAAAGCAGCCCTTACCCCATAGCTTTAAAAAAACTGTAATACATTTTTTTGTAAATTGCCAAGAGCTCCTGTGTTTCTATAGTGTTGAAGGTATATGGAAACTGTAACAAAACTAAAACATGTCATCTCTATTTTATTCACAACTATTAAACACTCGGGTGCTCACAAATATCCTCAGAAGTGACGCTACATGCACTTGTTTGGATAGATTTATGTTTTCAGCGTGGTTCTCACATGTGTGTCAGGCCACCACTTACATAAGCAATGACTCACTAATGACTGGGAATCACAAATAATTATCATGATGAAGTCAACCTTTCACCCTAAAAACACATAAAGGTTGTGCATGGACAACACTTCACACTCTAACATCCGTGATGGAATCATAATTTCCCCTTGCAGGATGTATGCTGTAAAAACACCAGTGTCATGAGAGTCCTTCAGTGGTTCCCTTTAAGTGTATTTTTGTGGTGTTTATTACAATATGAGTGTGCATAACGGCATAACTTGTAATATGTGAATATGTTACAGATCTATGTGACAACTAGACAACCGAAAAGACAACACTTATATTGTTTCAACTACAGTACAATAAACTGAAAAAAAAAAAATAAGCCAATTAATGTCATTCTGTAAATAATGCCTGGTTGTCATGATTATATCTATGTGAGGAGAACTCTAAAAAGAACCAGTGATATGATGGTTTTTATAATAATGCAAGACAAAATATATAAGACATACCTTTGAATGGGCTGACTTTGATTTCCCTAAAACATGCTAATTTGTGCTTCAAATGACACTTAGAATAAAAAAAACACGTTGCATATTTCATTGGTGTGTGAGAGCATAAAAGATGCTGTTGTATCTTTTATTGTACAATCAGTTGCATTGAAATATACAATTAAAAATGCAAAGTGCAAAGTAGTACAGCAAGTAAACATATCAGGTAACATTAAAGCACAGCACCGTTTTCCCTGTACAGTGTTGTGTACCTCTACATTTGGTTTGATACATTCTTAAAACATATGAATGGCAGATTACTCCTAACCTTGATAATGTGCTGTATGATCATAGTCTTTTTATATATAGCAAAACTATTGTTCATATTAAGTTAACAAGAGCTAATCTAAAAGAATAAACCTGAAAACTGTCCATAGAGCAGATAACTTGTTATGCCACTTTAGTTAAAAATGTCTCACATTCATATTAAAAATATGCACTGGCCTGAGACGGATCATATTCTTTGATCCATGGTGCTTAGCTGTTATGAAAAAAATCCAAAGGACTATGTTTCATATCAATGTAGCTAAGTCATAAGTTTCAACATGAATGCAGCATACAGCAGAGCAACACAACAGCAAATGGCACAAAAGCAAGGAATGGTGACCATTGAAATTAAATAGTTAAGCCATAAAATTAATTGATTTCTATTCTCCTCATGAAGGTAAAAATGAACTTTCAAGTGTTATTAAGAGATGTATTCTATGCAGTTCTATTTATTCCTAACCAGTGCTGGATCATCCGTTGCTCTCTGCTGGGTGGGCGTCTTGCTACCAACTTGCTCAGCCTTTCTGGGCAGCCTGGGGCTTCCAGCTGCTTTCCTGCCGGCCTGTGGGCTGGAGGAGCCAGTACCCATCTTTCTCAGAAGAAAAGGACTCTTGGAGCCCTTTGGTTTTGTTGGTGTCATTAAAGAGTCCACGCCCTTCAGAGATTTCAAACCAAGTAGGCCACAGAAGTAGTTGCAGTTGTGCTGGGAGATGAACTGCTCGAAAACTTTGGGATCGCCTTCAACAGATAAACCGTGATGCCTGTAGGAATACCAACACACAGCAGGTTAATATAGTTATAATCTGTATAAAAAGAAATTCCATGTAAAATAAAATTTTTACGGTATTTACAGAAACAACCCTGTAAGAAATATACTAACCTTGTTGATTTGACTGAAATTCCAACATGGGTGATCTTGGTTTCAACACCTGCAAAATAAGACAGCTAATCGTACATTTTTCAGTTGTTTAAGTAACATCTAGAGTAGACATGCACAGGGAAATAATCTGCATCACACTCTTGACATTAAAATCTGACAAAAAACAAACAAATCATGAAATGAATTTCCATCAGTGTGAAATGAATGTCCGACAGGGACCTAAAATGTGGAGCTGCATTTGCTGTGCACCTCTCACCATTACTGGAACCAGTCCTGACAGCTAGCACTTAGCACTTGTTAACCAACTCCCACTAATTAGTAGCTGGCACCTGCTAATTTGACCCAGCCAGACAGTCATGTCACCTTGGCATACTATTCCTTGTAACTTGTTGCAGCCTCTCATTTCATTGGTGTTTAAACGGCTCCAGCAGAAGAGAAGTTATATCCTAAACCTGTAAAGAATTAGGATTGATTCCTCCAGCCTTCTGCCTGGATTACATTAGCTGCCTGATTTTCCTTTCTAAGTCATTGATATTCTTCAGATCCGGGCAGAAATCTCAGACTGATATACAGAAACCTGAGTAAATACAGAAAATCCTGTTGTGTGTATGCTCACCCTCCAGCCGACTGAAAAGCAGATTTCCATTAGTCCACTGAAAGATCCAGTGCTGCAAGGCACAGCATTTCAGCTCCACTTCAGAGCCAGTTTTCATATGTAATCTGCCTGTTTCATCCAGGGTGGAGTATTTCCTATACACTCCAGCCAGATCAGTCTCCACAGTGGCATAGGGTATGGCATTTGCTGGTCTGTACATCAAGTAGACTGGAATCACCCTACATAAAAAAAACAGTCATGATGTAAATAGCTCTTAGAAATGTTTGGTACCTGTATTGTTGATGAATATATCTTACCATGAGTAAAATGTTTGTACTCACTCAAGAGAGGGTCCAAAACTTTCTATGACTCTTGCCTCAGCAGAAAAGATTTTGCAGTACTCCCGAGCCAAGTTCTGATATTTACACTCCTGGAAAATAGCCAGGGAAGATCTGTTAAACCTCCAGTATCACATTAATTCCTACTTTGATTAAAGTCACAGTAATCCTGTGTGGGTGGCATGAGACCCCACTCCCTTATTGCTGGAAATGCTGGTATATTGAGTAGTATTTTTAAATCAAAGACGGTAAAGCTTAATATCAATATCAAACCTTTTTAAGCACATTACCTGCTTCGTTATGTCCAGGTTCCTGTCTACGAGACTGCTCTCCTCTTTGCCTTCATAGGTGATAGGGCTTCGTACTTTGATTATACAAGTGTTACCGGACTCAAACACAGGTTCAAGACCGTAAATGACCTTTGCTCTCCAGACTTTGTGGGTGCAGCCTTTTCCAATATGAGATTCTGTCATCATTATACGTCCAAAGAATTTGTTGCCCCAGGTTCCATAATCAGCCAATCCCTTGTTGAAAATCAAGGGTGTCATTTCGATTTCCTCCCCAACTGCGTAAACAAGAATATTGGAAGGAAAGTGAGAAAAACACAGAAAAAAAGTTTGATCTTAAAAATATGAACTACATCTTACCACCAAGATCCTCCCGCAGAGACATGCCAGCCAAAACTGTAAAACAGCGTGAAGACAGAAATACTTATGTTGTGTAATATACACTAAAAATGTCGATAACTTTCTTTCATTGATAAAAAAACACATACTTTCTGCACTGAGTAGAAAATCTGTGGAACCTTCTCCATAAACATTTGCTATGGAGCATCCATAAACACCAGAATCTGTGCTCGATGCCTGAACAATAGCAAGATTGACCTGAGTCTCCTCCCCTGCACTGAAAGAGATGTAAACATGACACAGCACAGAATATATCAACACCTCAAAATCCAGAGTTTAATGTAACATCTAATACTTCCCAGATTTAATTTGAGGTCTTACTTTCTTTTAACCTGAGCGATCTCTTCTTCATTTTTGTACCATTTGATGATAGAGTCACTGAGAACATTGAAGAACTGGCACCACAGTTTTAAGTGTCCAGAAGAATCTGCAAAGGTCTCTCCTCTGATCTTACGGATAACTTGAGGAGCTGGAATGAAACAGACCCAAAACAGCTTCTTGTAAATGTCTTTGCAATTAAATGATGAAGTATCTCAAATTTTACCAAAAATATTAACATGTAAACACACAAAAGAAGGTTGGCAATTATCTCAAATAACAATGGTAACACAGTGTTCTAAAAAGTAAATTAAATCAATAGACAATCGTCCATACAAGAGAGCAGTTTAATCCGCTGGACAAAAATCCCATGACCGCCACCTTTTACCAATTTTCAAAAAAGGTGCTATGAATGGTGTGTGAACGTTGGCCATTAGAAAACAAGTAGTTGTGATACATTGTGAGACTTGCTATAATACGAAACAGTCATCCTGCAACCAAAACTTAATCCCATTAGGAATTTAGGTTTTTAGTTATGTTCCTATTCATGTGTCTTTACCTTTGAATGGGTTATGTTTGTCCGTCTCGGCAGGTTTCTTCTCAGTGTGCGTGTCCTCAGTGAGGTGCCGGCCTGATGTTTGAGTTTCAGATACAGTATTCCTTCTGGAAAGGAGTGGAGAACACCTGTCTAATGGAGAGGTTTGTTCTCCAGCAGCCTGCAGTGGAGGGGACTGTAGAGACAGACTTGGAGATGTAGAGAGGCTCGCAGAACTTGTGTAGGGCTTGCCACTTTGCGTTAGTACATCCTTTTTCTGATTTTGTCCTGCAGCCGGTGAATTGGTCTCTTCACCATTCTCAGGTTTGACCTTGGGTGTAAGGATTTTACGACGGGCCCCAGAAGCTAGTTCTTGAGGGGTAGCAGAAGGAATTGGAGAAACACAATCTCTTTTCTTCAGTCGTGGACTAGGCTTTGGAGTTAGACTGGTAAGGGAGTCAGATTCTGAACTTTCCCTAACTATTGAGCTCTCTTGCGGGGGAACACTAATAATTGTCCCTCGTGTGTCAGTGTCAAACTCCCCTTCAGTGGGAAACTTTTTTAATTGCTGCAAAGAAGCTATGTTTGTATTGTGTTCCTCAGGTTTGTGCTGATCAGAAGTTGTTGTCATATTGCTGTGGAGTTCTATTCCTGGAATCAGCTTGTGCAGCAATCCCACATTGTTATTTGGAATATGTATATCTTCAGTTTCATCCAACTTTGTTGTATTTGCATCATGAGTACTGGATTTCACATGCGTCCCTGTAAGCGGACACCCAGATTCCTGTATAACAGTTTCTGTTAGATGTGAAACAGACAGCTGCTTACTGCTCGATTCTTTATCTGATATCAAAGGAAGATGACTGTGTTGTACATTTTTACCCTCAAGAACTGAGGAAGCTTGAATGGGAACCTCAGTGTATATTTCAGTTTCCTCACTAATGTCCATAACAACTTCTTTGTATTTCTTGGCAATTCTGGTTGTGTCTATAGCTGTGTCAGTGTCTTTGGGAGAGTTGGGTGCCACAAGAGGTTCGTGCAAATCCAGAATTGGTGTTGAAGCTGAATCTGGAGTCAGAATTGGCTCATTTTGGCTTTTATTTAGCTGGTGATAAATCTCCATAAGTGTTGCTTTAATGTTGGTGACAGGCATTTGGTCAGTGCTTGTCTCCCTTTCCTTGTCTGGCTTTAATGTCTGTTTTTCTCCTTTAAATTCTCTGTTATCATGTTTAGATTCCTGATAATTTTCTCTACGTGTTATGGAAGTATTTTGTTTTAAATTATCATGGGCCGGTATGCTAGAAACTGATTTTTCTAATGTAGAATCGAGAGCCTTGATTTGAGACCTCAAAAGTTCAGCAATTGATATAACTTTTGTCACAGGTTTTGGAATTTCTTTGAAGTTTATGTCATTATCTTGTGAGTGTACATCATCTGGCTTTTTTGCTGGAAATAAGTCAGCAGTCTCAAATGTATCTAACTCCAGATTCTGTTGCTCTGAGCTGGATTCCTCAACCAATTTTGATACGGGTTCATTATCTGTGGCTTTAATATAAGAATCCTCCATTTCACAAGAGTCGTGATTATTAGCATCTTTGGCTTTTGCTGTTTTACTTTGTTCCATACTGTGTAAATCAGTCATTTCCGTCTTTACTTTTGTTTTCATCTCACTTGGGGCTATAATATCAGTCTCCACTAATAACGTACCTAGCCCTTTACCCTTTACCTGTTCAACATATTTTATTTCTGTGCCTCCAACAGTTTTTATTGCTGTATTAACTTGGCTTTGCAGGGCGGCGGGGGAAACATTACACCTTGGGGTGTCCACACCACCAACAGTCCTTTCATGTGGTGACTTATGTTGGTTTGTTGCAAGTCCTGGAAAGCATTCATTTAATTCCCTAGAATTTTCCCATGAGTCCGATGCCTTTTCGTCAGTGTATGGTTGACGACCACTGCACAAAGAGGTCTGGATGTCATCTGTTTTTCGTGGAGTTTGTAAGCCAGTCGTGCACGGGTCAGGTGGTAACTTAAGGTCGACAGGTGCACCATTCCTCGTCATCTTTGTATGGGCCTGTGTAACCTTGGGACATGATACATGCTGTAAATACTTATTCCTTTATCCCTGGCTATGCTGGACATGGATAAACACATGCAATTTTAAAAACAGCAACAGTGTAGTTAGCAACACAAAGAGAAAGGAAGGCGAATAAAAGAGAAGTTAGTTTAAACCATATACACAAGAGATATTAAAATCGTCCACCTTCTATAGAAAAGCTTTAATATGTAGTATATCATTAACTGAATTCTTGCTTCAAAGAAAAGAAAAGTAAAGAAAAGACTGTCTGGCACCTCCCATGTTCTGTTTCACGTCAGTCTGTTAACCAAAGGTCATGCCGATAAAAAACTGACCAATACAACCTATTTAGGAGGTCATATTAAATAATGCACTATGACCATGATAACAAGATTTAAGAACTGACTGAAGAATATGGGTGATATAATTTAGATATATAATTTAAAACATTTAAATCTTATAGCTTTAGTCTTAGGTCATATCTAGAGCGTCTCTGTTTCCCATCCACTCGTTCTGTCTGACGTGCAAAGACTTATTCAGATGGAAGGTTTCTATTTTGCATGTAATGGTGGCCAGAAAGGAATGTCAATTATTTTAAGTAGTGCTCGAGCCTTCAGTGTTTTGTCTCGGCTCTCAGTGTTGTCAGTGCTCAGCCATGCAGCTTAGGTTCAGTGATTGCATAAGCAGTGTAGAAAGACAGGAAAGCCTAGTAGCAGAAGTTATTAGTGCTAATTGGGGGCATTGACAAGAAACCCCGCCAGTAATGTGCTCCTTTACATAGATTAATAAAGAAAAATGGAAAAAAAGCTTTATTCATGTAATGTCAATCTCATGCATTTTTCAGTAGAAAATCATTTGTAATTTAGTATTTTTTGTCCAGGAAGACAGATTGTTAAACTGGTGGCAAAAGCGTAACAACAGTTATGACAGCTAGCTAACCGCCAACAAGTTCATAGAATATATAATCGTTAAACCAGCACTGAATGATACATTTTTACATGTCTTTTACTTAATGTCAGCAAAAATACTAAAATCTTGACAGAGAGATGAGATGTCCACAAAGTTTCTGATGGATTAAACATACTTTCTGTAGCTAACGAAGGTAATTATATATTCATCACTGTGTGTTTTTTCCAAAATTGTTAATTGGTACCTTTATGTCAAGTCATTCAGTTTGTGTAATGTTAAAGACAATTCGAATTCCTTATTTGACGCAAAGCTCAAGACCCTATTTTCAGATCAATGCCCATGCTTAGATGTACTGCTTCCATATACCTGCAGCACCTGTCAACATGTGCGTCATTTCATGCTTATCGCACAGCGGGGCATGCTTGTAAAAAAATGAAAAAACTAAAAATAGCTCCAGGATGCTTGTGTTGCTGATGGGGTCTGTGCTGGCCTGGCAGAGCACTCGTGAGCTCATGCAAAAACGTTTACTCACCTCACTTGGCACAGCCGGTAGAGAGGCAGACTCCTTTTTTTGGCATGTTCCTCTGTCAGACAGCTGATTTCCAGACAGTTCACATGGACTTTGAGACAAAACTGTCCCACTGTCACATGGTATATCAACTGACTCACGGGAATTGCCTGTGAAACATCCATCAGCCGATGCTTTTGACTTTCCATTATCATCCGTGAGTGTAACGTGTTCTGTTGCATACACGTCCTCCTGTAAAATGCTAAGGAGTGTCCCTTTGATACTTGACTGCTTTTGTGTTGAGGAAACACCAGGGATTTTGCTCTGAGTTTCCAATTTTACTTTATCAACTGTTTTTTCACCGTCCTCCTCGTATTTTGCGACTTTTCCTCTTTCAGTTTCTGAAATAGTTTGACTTGGAGGCAAAAGAGCAGCAGGAGACTCCGAGGCAGAGAGAAGTTGTATCTGTGAAGATTCAATTGTCTTACATACATCTTTATCCTTTGATGATCTCTCAGAAGGCACGGCTGCCTCTGTTGGGTTTTTCTTACATTGTTCTCCCATATCTCTCAAACTTCTATCTGATGAACCAATATTGTCTTCTACATCCATAACTTCATCTGAACTGTCTTTGGTCTGTGCTGTCTGTGTACAGAAAAGAGGTACAGAGGAGGAAATCTCATCTTTTGACATCGTATCTCCCACAATTTCTGTTTTTCCCATTTTTGCACTTGTGGAAATTTTAAATTTCTTTTTAAGAAAGGGAGACTTTGGATGCTGTGGGGTAAAAGTCTTATGATCAGGATCGTATATGTACGTCCCACCATTATGAACACCGTCATTTTTAATCTTTCCATTTGTCATAGCAGGCAGTGCTCCGTTGGTGATTTGCGAGGGCTTTCTCTCAACTTCCTCCACAGCAAACTCCTGTAACCTGGCCTCAGCCTCATGAGTCACAGGCTGATGGTTTTCCTCACTTCCCTCATCCTCCAAGGAGCTTGGCAAGCTGAGAAAGGCATCCATTGGGGAGCGGCGTTTCCTCTGTGTGCGGTCTGGACTGATGGTTCTCAGCGGCTCCTGGTTTTCTTTACCCTCTGCTTCCATTCGTCTGTTTTCAGCTTTCTGTTTTAGCTTGGAAAAGTAGCGCTGATGAATTTTGAACTCATTCATCTCCCCTACTTCAAGAATACCAGAGCAAGACACGATCCCTTTGCTGTTGATGGCAGAGGCCTGGTAAATAGCTGCATCATCCACAGTGCATCTACAAGTTGATTAAAGTCAAGCAGTTAGTTAACGTTAAAATTAAGTGTAAACACACAGAATAAGCTTATGGCGATATCTAAAAAAAGGGCCCTACATTAGCACAAATTATACAGACACTAACTGCCAAATTAATGGAAGAGTCTAAAAGAACTAGGATACCTTTGAGGGGATTTGCACTGTTGTAGATAAAACTGTCCGGGTTATTTTGTACATACAAGTTCTGCACTTTAATGTTTTTCAAAAGCCGAGTGTCAACACAAAAAGGTGTAGAACAGGAAATACTGCTCTCGGATTTCCTTAAATGTTTTTTCTTTCTAAATTTGCCAACATCATCATGAAACATATTTGCATAATGCATTCCAGTGATCCTGTCTCAACCCATTATGAGCTTTCTAAAGTTAACCCACCAGCTGAAAGTAAACTGGGAAGGATGACCATAAATAAAGTGTAAATTTCTCAAAAAATGCCGTCAAAATGTATAATATGTGGATTTCTTGCACATAGAGTGACTACCTGGAAATGAGCATGATGTCATTTTTAAATGATTTGCTTACTATTTGTCAGTTCATAGTTCACATTTCTTCTTGTAAATCTTTAAAAAAAATTGATCTAAGAAGTATTCCAACAAAACAACAGTCAAAGGTTTTCACTATCCATACTTGTAAATGTGCAGAGAATGACTTTGTCCATTGCGCAATATTTCATATTTCGGTAATCCACAGTATCTATCCAGCTGGACATCATCCTTATACCACGTAACTTGAGGGGCAGGATATCCTAAGAGAAAGACAGAGACAGTACAAAATTGTATATCTTTTTTATGTGAATGTCATGAGTATTTTGGCAACATCAGGCTTAATGTATATTAGTATATTACTATGAATTATTCTGTCACTTGATTTCCATAGAAAATGATAATGTAAGAATCATACTTATGTTATATACTATGGGGAATATTAATATATATATATTAATATATATCTCAGTGCACTTAATGCAAAAACATAAAGCCCTATCCTTCACTATGATGTGAGGCAGTGTTTACCTGTAACCACGCAGGAAAACTTCACATTGCAGTTTTCTGACACAGCCTTTGACTTCAGGGTTGTCACAAAAGAGGGCTGCTTTTCCTCTGTTAAGTGTGCTATCACACTGCAGAGCGTGCTCCTGTGCAAGACATAGAAGCTGCTTGATCATTATGTTTTACTTATATAATGTAAGCTTAAATAAGGTGTAATGAACACTGAATTCTATTAAAAAACACAATAATAATAATAATATGGCAGGAAAACATAATACAAAAAAACATCTATAAAGACAAAGGAAACTAATATAGATAGATAGATAGATAGATAGATAGATAGATAGATAGATAGATA